GCCTGAGCTCCCGGGTCCCTGGCCCGAGTCCAGCCCACGGCCCAGGCCGGGCGGCGGCGGGCGGCGGGCGGGGTTTCTGGCCGCGCGCGGTTTGGGGGTTTTTTATAACCCTGGCAGGCTGCTCAGGAAGTGCCTTCCCCGCGCCCCCTCCCCCGGCCACGCCGCCGCGCTCGCTCGCTCCCTCCCTTCCTGCGCGCGCGGGGCGGGAGTCGGCGGCGGGACGGAGGCCCCGGGCGCCGCGCAGGTAAAGGCGCGCGATCGGCGCGGGTGGGGGGCACGGAGGGGGCGGCGCGTGGCTTCGCGTGGCTTTGCGTGTCTGCGTCGGCCGGTGTGGCCGTGGCCCGCTGGACCGCCCCGCCCGCGGAGTGCGTGAGGACGGTGCGTGATGTCCCCAAGGGTGCGCGCCACGGAACGCGCCCGGGCTCGCGGGAGCGCCTGCCCGGGTTTCTCTGCTGTGTGTGTGCGCGGCCATCCACGTATGTGCAGATGGTCGTGCGGTGCATGTGTGTGTCTGTCAGTGTCTGGGGAGGATCTCTGTTGTGTGTCTGCCTGAGTGTGCGTGTGCACATAGGTGTCTGCTGTGTGTGTGTCAGCGTTTGTGTGTCTGTCTCCAGGCATCTGTGTGTGTCTCTGAGTGTGATGAGCCTGTTAATGAACGCCTGTGTGTAAGTGTGTCTGGTGGGGGGGATCTAGGTCTGTGGGACTTGTGAGTTTGCCTGGTGTGAGTGTGGAAATGCAGTGTGTGTGGGTCTGCGTGTAGGCCTGTGTCTCCAGGGCTTGTGTGTCTGTGTGTAAATGAGTGTGTCTGTGTGTAGGCCCTGGGTGTGTGTATGTGTGTGTCGATGTGTTTGTCCTGGGTTGTCGTGTGTGTCTGTGCACGAGTGTGAATGAGTGTGTGTTTTGCACACACAGGTCTGGGGAGTGTGTAGCTGTGTGTCTCCGTGTGCCTGTCTCTGAGTGTACTGAGTGTGTTGGTGTGTGTGTGCCGGAGGTGGGAGGGGGTGCTTTGTGGGTCTGGGGTGCCCGAGCGCTGGTCCCTGGCTGCGCGGGTGTGTGTGTGTGTGTTGCTGCCAGTGTGTGTTTGTGTGTCTGGGTGTGGGAGTGGCGCCGCCCACTTCCCCTGAGTTGGTCACCGAGGCCACAGCCGTCTGTCTCAGGGTGTCTCCAGCGGTCGGGCTCAGGGCCTTTAATTAGCGGCTGGTTTGTGGGGGGGACCAGCCGGGGCAGCCGGGAGGGCCGGCCCCCTCCTTGCACAGGCCGCTGCTGCTTCGGGCCTTTGTCTGCTCTGGGGCCGGGGCTGCCTCCCGCTGGCTGGCCAGATGTGCAGGAGGCCGGCGGCCGGGCCTCTGCCTGGGCAGACACGGCCTTGGCCTCCACCGGGACATCCCGCCGCCCTGTGCCCCCTGAGCCCGGCCACGGAGGGCTGACTCTGGAGCTGGTGGTTCTTCCGGGATACCCAGGACAGGACGGAGGGAGCGGAGCCTCAGTTTCCCAAGCATTTCCGTGAGGCATTTCCTCCAGTCTTGGCACCCTCCCTGACGCAGGCCACCTCCCTCCTGCTTTCTGGGAAGAGGCCCTGGTGGGGTCTGGGTGTGTACACACACACACACACACACACACACTCACACACACACATACCTGCAGCACCGATCCTTGCTAACGTCCTGTTGCTCACATGGTCTCTGCCCCTAACTGGCGGCCCCCTGTCTCATCTCCCCCAGACCCACCCCAGAGCCACCACCTTGGTTGTAGTCCCCCCCACCCAGTGCCCTGGGCTATGTGACACCTTTCAGCTGCCCTGGGGGCTGGGCCCCGGCTCAGACACCTATGAGCCCCCTGCAGACCCCTGTCCTCCCCATCCTGTGCACAGGGGACTCCCCTCCCCCAGCCTCCACCCACCTATTCCACGTCCTCCCACGCTGTCCCCTACCCCCCAGCTGAGCCAGAAGCCCAGGAGGTAGTATGAGGTTTTTGGGAGGAGGGTCCCCCTGCCCCACGGGAGGAAGCTAGGGCGCCAGGCCTGGCAGCAGGGAAGAGGAGAGACACAGCCATGAGAGGGAGGGACAGCTCCAAGCCTTGTCATGCTGCCATTTGGGGAGGGGGTGATTTGAGACAGGAGCGGGGCCAGGAGAGCCAGACCAGGAAGGGCCCTGATCCCAAAGTTGGTTGAGGCCTCCAAGGAAGGAAGAAGGAAGCAGCAGCAAGAAGGGATGGATGGAGGGAGGAGTTTTCTTGGGGGGGTGAGGGAGGGTATTAGGAAGAGAAGATAAAGTCCAAGAAGAGGTTCCCTGGGGCAGGAAGAGGATCAGAGATTCCTGAGCAACCCCTGAACTACAGACCCAGCTCAGTGCTCCAGACCAGCCTGGCGACTCCTCGTTGCCCAGGGTCCCACGGAAGAGGCAACCAAGGCCCAGAGGGGCTCAGGGAGCAGCGGAGGGAAGGATCCGCACAGGGGCCCCACACCACGCCACCAACCGAAGCCCCCAAAAGGTAAAACAAAAAAAGAAAAACAAGGAGTGGACATTAGCCCAGCCGAACAGAGCAGTAGGGTCACAAAATATCTGTGAGTGAGCTCCCCATCACTGGAGGGGTCCAAGTGGAAGCGGGGAATGTGGACTTCTCGGGTCAGCAACTCAGAAAAAAAAAAACCCAGTTTCCCTCCCTCCGGGGCCAAACTGCCCTGTTTGGGGATTGACTCTCAGACTTGGCTGGGCTGCAAAAAAAACAAGACAGTGTGTGATTAAGGGGGATTTTGCACAGGGAAGGAGGAGGAGGAGGAGGGTGGAGACGGGAGGGCGTGGGGGAGGAGGATTTGGCACAGGGTGGTGGCCCAAAATGGTGTCTGCGGCAGGCTGGCCTGGGGCAGATGCCGGAGAAACAGATCTGCCCAGCGGGCCTGGAGGTGGCTCGGGGACAGTGGTTTCCAGCCCCGCCGGTGGGGTGAGTGGCACTACCCATGGCAGAGGACCCAAGGACAGGGCTGAGGACGGTGGGTGGGAATGTGGAACTCTGGGGGACCCAAGCACTGGCTGTGGCTTTAATCTGCCTGGAAAATTCACACTGACCGCCCCAGCCTTCCACTGTGTCCCATGCCAGCCTCCCCTTGCCCGGCCCCTGCACCTGCCCCGCCTGGGTCCCTGCCATGCCACGCCCCACGCCAAGCCTGTGCCTTTGCTGCTCCCCTGCCCGGTGCACCTTCTTCCGCCTCTTCACATGATCATCTTCTCATCCCTCCAACCTCTGCTTCCCAGTCTCCCCATTAATGCCTCCTAAGAACATGTCACCATCTGGACCATTCTCCATTGACCTGTCTGTCATCTGTGGCTCCCAGGAGACTGAGCCCTACAGGGCCAGGGCGGTGGTGGCGGTGGCAGTGGTGGTGGTGGGGTATGGAGGGTGACTGTCCCTGTCATGCACAGCCGCCGTCCCCCTGGAGCTCATCAGCAGTCCTTCCCCAATGAATGAGTCCGAGGGTTCACCGCTTTCTAGCCATGTGACCCTGGGCAGACTCTTATCACCCCAAGTCTGTGCATGGTGCCAGTGGAACTCTCAGAGATATTTTGGAAATAGAATGCAATGGTGTGAAAACTTTGGGGCCAGTAGCTGGCACCTAGGAGGTGCTCATGGTGGCATCCCGGTCCCTGCCTGTCCTCATCTGGGAGTGCAGGGAGCACTGGATGGGGAGATGGGGAGAGGGGTTCTGCTGAGAGAGAAAATGCGTTTGGAATTTGGGGGAGGGGTGCCTTGGCCGGCCTCGGGGCCTTGGCACTGGTTATGCTGGGCAGTGGGACCAGGCCACCGCCTCTGACCTGGCTCTCCCCTCCCAAGACCCCAGTGATGCTGCCCAGGCTGTGAACAGGGGAGGTGGCACCGTGGGGGCTGCCGGCAGCCGGGGCTGGGGAGAGACATGTGGACACGTGGCCTCTATGGCTCCCGCCTGCCAGATCCTCCGCTGGGCCCTTGCCCTGGGGCTGGGCCTCACGTTCGAGGTCGCGCATGCTTTCCGGTCTCAAGGTAAGAGCGGTCTGGGGGTGGCAGTGGGGGAGGAAAAAGAAGTTGAAGAGGCCAGTCTGGCTCCAACAGAAAGAGGGGTTAATGGGTGGGGAAGGGGTTCGTGGGAGGAAGGCCCTGGGGTCATTTAGACTGGAGGCTTGCAGCCAGTGACTTGGATTCGGGGGTCAGTGAGGTCAGCATCACCTGCGCCAGCAGCCAGGATGCAGAGGTCAGCCGAAAGCAGGACCCACCCAGTCCTCTCTGACCTTCACCCACAGATGAGTTCCTGTCCAGTCTGGAGAGCTATGAGATCGCCTTCCCCACCCGTGTGGACCACAACGGGGCACTGCTGGCCTTCTCGCCACCTCCTCCCCGGAGGCAGCGCCGGGGCACGGGGGCCACAGCCGAGTCCCGCCTCTTCTACAAGGTGGCCGCACCCAGCACCCACTTCCTGCTGAACCTGACCCGCAACTCCCGTCTACTGGCAGGGCACGTCTCTGTGGAGTACTGGACACGGGAGGGCCTGGCCTGGCAGAGGGCCGCCCGGCCCCACTGCCTCTATGCCGGCCACCTGCAGGGCCAGGCTGGCAGCTCCCATGTGGCCATCAGCACCTGTGGAGGCCTGGTGAGCTGAGAATTCTGGAAACAAGGGGAAATTCCCACAAGTTTGGAAGTTAAGAAAATCCCTTCTAAACAGAAGTCAGAGAAAGACTCATAGTGGGACATTTTTTTTAAAAAAGTATTTTGAGCTAATCAGGACTTTGGGGATGCAGCTAAAGCAGTACTTAGAGGAAAATGTATAGCCTTAGGTAAGGCTGAAAATTAATGAGCCGAACAGCCATCTCAAGACATTAGAAAAGGAATAGCAAAATAAACCCAACAAGATAGATTAGATAGGTAGATAGGAATGAAATCGTAAAGACAGAGAGAGAATTCTGGGGTCCTGGGATTCAGAACCTGATCTGAGCTTTCTGTCCCACTCCTCAAAACCCAGCATGGTCTGATTGTGGCAGACGAGGAGGAGTACCTGATTGAGCCCCTGCAAGGTGGGCCCAAGGGTCCCCGGGGCCCAGAGGAAAGTGGCCCCCACGTGGTGTACAAGCGTTCCTCTCTGCGTCACCCCCACCTGGACACAGCCTGTGGAGTGAGAGGTACATCTGTCTTTCTGGGAATGAGCAGAGGGGATGTACAACATCATTCCCTTGAGGCAGAGGCAGACAGGTAAGCAGTGGGGTGGTTGTATCAGATACTCGAGCAGTTGTACAGTCAAAAGGTCAGATTTACAACCAGACTGGTAGGAGGACAGTTTCACACTCAGACATTTAGGGAATGGGAGAGTAGGAAAGTTATGCAGCAATAAAATATTTGCCAGCAACGTCATACAGTGAGAAAAACAGATCAATGTTGGGTGGAAAAGCAGAACAGTGAGACATTGAATGGGTTGTACAACCAGATAGTCTCTGAGTAGGACACTCTGGTAGACATACAACCACAGTTGGTTGTGCAAGCAGAAAAGGCAAGTGATGTCACAGTTGGGTGGTCCGTGGGACAGTCTGGTTGTAGTACAGTCAGGCACTTAGGCAGTGCATTGATTGGAAAGTTGGTTGCTTGGAAGGACCACAAGTTGGACAAGCACACAGTTCAGACAGTGAGACAGGCTGCTCCACGCCAATACCTCAGGCAGCGGAATTGTCAGGGGGTCATGTGATCATGCTGATTGTAATGGCACAGTTGTTCAACCAATCAGCATGGCAGCGGTACAGTTCTGCAAGTGTTCAGTTGGACATTTGGGCGTTGAGGCAGTGCGGTTGCTGAACAGGTGAGCATTCAGGCAGCAGGACAGACGGTAGGGCCGGGTGCAGTGGCTCACGCCTGTTATCCTAACACTCTGGGAGGCCGAGGCAGGAGGATCTCTTGAGCTCAGGAGTTCAAGACCAGCCTGAGCAAGAGTGAGACCCCATCTCTACTAAAAATAGAAAAATTAGCCAGACATAGTGGCGTGCACCTATAGTCCCAGCTACTCGGGAGGCTGAGGCAGGAGAATCGCTTGAGCCCAGGAGTTGGAGGTTTCAGTGAGCTATGATGGCGCCACTGCACTCTAGCCAAGGCAACAGAGTGAGACTCTGTCTCAAAAAAAAAAAAAAAAAAAAGACAGTGGGGAAGTCAGTCTCTTATTCAACCCAACTATGTGACAGTGGGACAATCACTGTAGACCCAAATATTCAGATAGGGAGACATTGTAGAACCAGACGTGGTACTGCCAGGACGCCCGATAGCAAAAGAATGAGGTATTTGGCAGCCTGTCGGGCAGATGGAGCATCCAACAGGTAGTTGGACAACAAGAGCAGGCAGCAGAATGGCCGGAAATCGTCCAGCTGCTGAGTAGAGAGTCAGGGTTTGTACAGGACAGTTGTCAGGCAGCTGTGCACCCCACTAGCAGGGCAGGGCTCAGTTGCTCTCTCCTGGGTTCCCCAGACGAGAAACCATGGAAAGGGCGGCCATGGTGGCTGCGCACCCTGAAGCCACCGCCTGCCAGGCCCCTGGGAAATGAAACAGAGCGCGGTCAGCCAGGCCTGAAGCGATCGGTGAGCCGAGAGCGCTACGTGGAGACCCTGGTGGTGGCTGACAAGATGATGGTGGCCTACCACGGGCGCCGCGACGTGGAGCAGTACGTGCTGGCCATCATGAACATTGTAAGTGCCTCCCCCTCCCTGGGCATGGAGCCCTAAGGACCTGGGGCCAACCTCAAGATGGCAAAAAGGGGTATCGCCATCCCACCCCCAATCCCTGACCTGGGGACAGGTGAGGAAGGAGGGTTTCACATGGCAATGAATGAGGAAAGGTAGCACAGCACAATGGCTGGGAGCAGAGGTACCCTGGAACGGAGGTAACCTGCCTGGCCTTAAGTCCCAGCTCTGCCACTTTTTAGCTGAGTGTGCTTGAGTGACTTACTTTACCTCTCTTCCTTGGCTTACCCATCTGCAAAATGGGGGTAATAATGCCATCTACTTCATAAGGTACCTACCTCGTAAGGCTAAGGTGGATTTGGTGCATTGATAAAGTGCTTGGAACAGTGTGCTTAGCACACAGTAGGTGCCATGTAAGTGTTTACTGTGTATAAAAATAAATACAGGGCAGGCACGGTGGCTCCTGCCTGTACTCCCAGCACTTTGGGAGGCCAAGGTAGGAGGATGGCTTGAGGCCAGGAGTTTGAGACCAGCCTGGGCAACATAGCAAGACCCCATCTCTACAAAAATAGAAAAAGTTAGCCATGTGTCGTGGTGTACACCTGTAGTCCCAGCTACTTGGGAGGCTGAGGCAGGAGAATCGCTTGAGCCCAGGAATTTGAGGTTGCTGTGAGCTATGATGACGCCACTGCACTCCAACCTGGGGGACAGAATGAGACCTTGTCTCAAAAACAAACACTCAGCTTGCAGATATTCATTGAGGTTATCCGTACATACACAGGCACACATCGGTATGCATGCAGAGTTCTGCACAAGCAACCACTTATAAACTCATACAGGCTGACCTCCGTGACCCACCCTCAGATATACTCACTTCCCATTCTAGATCTCAATCAAGACTTGTCTCAGCCTCAGCTTCCCCCTCTGTAAAATGGGGTTATAATGGTATCTACCTCAGAGGGAAGCCAAGCAGGGCACTGGGCACATAGTTAAGGGCTTGATGAATAGTCTTCTTCTTTCACCGAAGCAAAAGGGAAGACAAAATGTTTAGCACACAGACAGACGGCCCAAGATATTGACATGATGTCATCTCTGATACCATTATGTTCTGCCGAGCCCGGCCTCCCTCCCTTGGGCTTTCAAAGTTTCCTAAATTGCTGGGGGTTTCCAGATAGGACAATGATAGCCCAGGGCTCCAAGATCCCCGCTCATCATCTGTGCCCACTCAAACCCTGAGACACTTCCTGTTTCCCTCTGACCACTGTCTCCAGAGCCTCCTGCCCCCACGGTCCCACCTTCCTGTGGTGATGCTCAAATTGGTACCTTCATACAGCCATAGGGCAAAGACACTCGAGGCAGTCAGGGGTAAGCAGGGATTGGAGTATGAGTAGAGAGACAAGCTGAGCCCCAGGGAATCAGAAAGAAATGTGCTAATACACAACCCAGACTTGGGTCCCACTTATGACACCTAACCTCTCTGTGCTCAATTTCCTTGTCTATGAAATGGGGATGAAAATAGCATCTACTCATGAACAGATAAATACAGCAGGTGTAGCCTAGGACCCGGCACATACTAGGTACTTAGTTAAAACAAGCTGTTGTCATTGTTTTGCTTCTTTGTTTTCTACTCTGGGCTCCTCTTAAGACTCGGTCTCTCTTGTTTCTTGGAGGTCAGGTTGCCAAACTTTTCCAGGACTCAAGTCTGGGCAACACCGTTAACATCCTCGTAACTCGCCTTATCCTGCTCACAGAGGACCAGGTGTGGGGGTCGGGGGGCCCCTCCCTTCCCCTCCACGCCATGTCCAGGGTGGTGGGCGCTCATGCACGTCACTCTGTCCACCCCCAGCCCACTCTGGAGATCACGCACCACGCCGGGAAGTCCCTGGACAGCTTCTGTAAGTGGCAGAAATCCATCGTGAACTACAGTGGCCACGGCAATGCCATTCCGGAGAACGGCATGGCCAACCATGACACAGCGGTGCTCATCACGCGGTGAGGGGCAGGGAGGGGCTCCAGGACTTGGGCAGAGGGAACAAGTGGTCCAGGGGACTGTCTCAGTCCAAGCAGAGATCACTTCTGCGGGGGGACTAGGAGAGGGGGTAAGCTTTAGCCACCCCTGGGGGAGCCAGGGATGGAGAGAGCCTGCTTGGGAATGAGAGGAGGGAGGTGGTGGACTCATTCACTCCTCCCCTTCATTCATTCAGTCATTCAGTCATTCCTGTACCCCCAGCATGCACAAGATCAGCCGATTGGCTCCATCTGGGGGCACAGTGTGAGCAAGAGGCAGGTGATGCCCCCAGGCAGGGCGCAGCCCCCAGCGCTGGGCATGGTGGCATCAGCCGGGCTTCAGGAGGCAGCCCAGAACCCTCACCTTTGTCTCCTTTTGCAGTTACGACATCTGCATCTACAAGAACAAGCCCTGCGGCACATTAGGTACCTGAGCCCCGTAGGTTTCAGGCACCTATGAGCGGTGAAGGCAGTGGGCTGGGGTGACCCTGGCCCTGGGGTGACATAAGACCTGGCAGGGTGGATGGGGCCGGCCAGCACAGCCCCACCCCACGCACCCGTTTTCCCAGGCCTGGCCCCGGTGGGCGGGATGTGTGAGCGAGAGAGGAGCTGCAGCATCAACGAGGACATTGGCCTGGCCACGGCGTTCACCATTGCCCACGAGATTGGGCACACGTGAGGACGGGGGACACAGGAGGGGGAGAACGGGAGGAGCTGGGCGGGTCCCCCCCTCCCGGCGCCCGGCAGAGCCAACACCCCTCTCCCCAGATTCGGCATGAACCACGACGGGGTGGGGAACAGCTGCGGGGCCCGTGGCCAGGACCCAGCCAAGCTCATGGCCGCCCACATCACCATGAAGACCAACCCGTTCGTGTGGTCATCGTGCAGCCGCGACTACATCACCAGCTTTCTAGAGTGAGGACGCACTTGCCTGTCCTGCCTCGAGGGTCGCGCTCACGCGGCAGGGGCGGGGAGGCTCTGGAAATCAGGGACTCCCCCCCATCCGGCTTTCTCTCCTCGTAGCTCAGGCCTGGGACTCTGCCTGAACAACCGGCCCCCCAGACAGGACTTCGTGTACCCAACCGTGGCACCCGGCCAAGCTTACGACGCGGACGAGCAGTGCCGCTTCCAGCATGGAGTCAAATCGCGTCAGTGTAAATACGGGGTAGAGAGAGCCTTCCTGCTTTCCTTCCTGGGAGGGGACGGGGCCGCAGGGGGGCCGGGAACTCCACCAAGACACCCACCCGCCTGGGCAGTCGAGGGTATGGGAAAGCCGGGCGGGAGGGTAAAATGAGCCCCTCTGGGGACCGGGGAGGACAGAGGTGCATGGGCTGTACAGTGTCCCAAGCTTGGGGACAAGAATGGGACCTCCTCCTTCTCCAGATTGAAGGCCTGGGCTGGGGGGGGGGAGGCCACCTTCTGTCTGGCACATCAGCAAGACCAAAGTCCCAAGAACTGTCACTGGGCAGTTTTTAACTAAACATCCAGACTTCGTGAAAAATAATAGTTCGTTCCCTGGGGCTGGTCATCTTCCTCACTTGACAAAGAACTGGACAGAACCTTCCAGGCACTCCCTGTCTTCGTTCCCCACATCCCCCACTGACTGGTCCACGAGCTCTCCTGGCCCCAGTTCACGGCTGGGTGGGCTGTGAGCTTCCTGACTCCGCCTCATTCTTTCCCAAGACTCAGACTTCCTAAGCCCCACCTGTGCATAGGGACGTGAGCAGCGAGGGTTGGTGGGGTCCCCCCTCCAGCTCCCCTACAAGCACTGAAGACCTGCTGGCTTCCGGCTTCAGCCACCAGGGCTCAGCCAGGGTCTGCCCCTCCTCTGCCCACATACGCTCAATTCTCTAAGCACACCCTACACAGCCTAGGGGCCCAGGGCCCAGGCCCAACTCTCCACACCCCCACAACTCGGAAGGCTCTGAGTTTGCATGGCCACGTGCAAGCTGTTGCCATGTCAGATGCAGAGCTGCCAACATGCCCTTGCTTCATTCCACTGCAAGACAAGGAACCAAACCCTGAAATGATTTATGTTTCATTGATTTTCCACTCTTGCCCCCTGGCCCCCACCACCACCACCCTAACTTAGCCGGTAACCACCCTCTCATGAACTCCTAAAGAATTCTGAAGCCACCCCTGAGCATGTTCTGTGTCCCAGTTATCCTACCAACGACGACGATGTCAGCCACTCACTGAATGCTCAGTACATGCTAAGCATGTGATATGTTATCATCTCATCTAAACTCCCAGCAATCCTGCTAGCCCCAAGTTACAGATGAAGGGAATGAGGTACAGGGAGAGGGACTTGCCCAAGGCCACAGTGTGACAATATGGCAGAGCTGGGATTTTAATCTGCGTCTCTATACAACTGAATTTTATAGGGGGTGGGGGGGAGGAGAGCAGCTGGCAGAATATTAAGCGTGGGCTATCACTGGCTATATATTGAATTGAGCCTGCCTTTTGTTTTTTTTTTTTGTTGTTTTTTTGTTTTTTGAGACAGAGTCTCACTCTTTTGCCTGGGCTAGAGTGCCGTGGCGTCAGCCTAACTCACAGCAACCTCAAACTCCTGGGCTCAAGCGATCCTCCTGCCTCAGCCTCCCAAGTAGCTGGGACTACAGGCACGTGCCACCATGCCCGGCTAATTTTTTCTATATATTTTTAGTTGTCCAGATTAATTTCTTTCTAATTTTTAGTAGAGACGGGGTCTTGCTCTTGCTTAGGCTGGTCTCGAACTCCTGAGCTCAAACAATCTGCCCGCCTCGGCTTCCCAGAGTGCTAGGATTACAGGCGTGAGCCACCGCGCCCGGCCTGCCTTTTATTTTTTGAAGGAACATCTTTCTGGCCCTCCTTGCAAAGGGAGGAATTATTCACTACTTGTAAACTGTTAATATATGCAAAGATCTCAGTCTAGTGCCTGGTCCGGGTATAGCTGTGGTCATTGTTACCCTGCAACAGGGCATACCTCACAGCTATTTATGCAGGCAAGGCAGGCATTAGGCTGCCTATCTTGTAGATGAGGAAACTGAGGCCCAAAGAAGGGAAATGTGTTGCAAGTCAGTGGTAGAGTTGAGGTATCCCAGAGTAGCCTAGGACTCATTTGCATATACCACAGCGCCTCCATGTGGGAAGGAGGTCAAAAAGCAAGGCTCAGATCTGTTAAAGAGGTGTCAGAAGTGGGATTGGGGCTGGATTGATGTGATATTTTTAGAAATGGCCAGGAGGACACAAGCCAAGTGAAGCCAGAAAAGCAGGCTGAGTTTATAGCTGAGAAGTGTCCTCTGCGGGACAGAAGGCAGGGACTCTATGCAGGAGGTTGGAGGGAGTATGTTTGAGGACAACTCTTCAGACTCTCACGTGTGCAGGTATCTCTCAGGGGCTGACTCGGGAAGGGTCCCTTCCTATGGCCATGGATGCATCCAATCCCAAATCATCAAAGCTTAGAAGGATTCTGTGTGAAGAGGGGTTTGTGCCTGATTGTAAGAATGAGACGGAAGAATCTCTGCTTCTCAGGTGGTTGGTCAGGGTGGACGCCAAGAGAATCCACAATTTGGCCACCTTGAACCCAGTGGGGCTTCTCCAGGGATTTTCACCTGGACCTAAAGAGTCAGAATGAGTCCCTGGGACTGGTCCAGCTTCCTGCTGTGGACAAGGCCTTGGCCAGCCTTAGCAGAAGTTGGGCAGGAAGAGAATCGGGCTGACTTTTCACTGGGGGAAACAGAGAAACATCCCACACAGACCCAGCCTGGTGGGGTCCCCTCCCTTTTCAGCTTAAAAGTGTGGGGGGCTCCTCCAGTTGAGGTGGGAGACTAAAGAGAACCACCAGATGGAAAACATACTAGAGATGGGGCCCTTGACCTGAGTCACCAACCAGGCCTGATTTCTCAAAACCTCCACTCTCCCCTGGGCTGCTTTGCCGCTTCCAAAAAAAAAAAAAAGCCGGAATCCCTCCTATGCATTCCTCAGCAGGCCCCAAATTTCCTTCTAGAAACTCTGAAGTCGTCAGAAGCTGAACTGCAGAGTTCCTCAGAGCACAAACCCTGCATCAAAGATCCAGGGTTAGACTCCAGGCTGCCCCTGAGTAGCTGCGTGACCTCTAGCGAGTGACCTTACCTGCCCGAAGCTTGGTTTTCTCGCGGTGGGATGGGAATAGTCATGCCTACAGGAGTTTGTGGCCTACTTAGGTGGTCCATAAATGCAGCTCATTGGCAGAGGATAAGGCCCAGGCCATGACCAGCAAGGGAATCCAAGACGACTTGTTGAGACCCAGGAAAAGGAGCGCTTTTGGGGGCCGCCCCAGCTCCGGGCCTGCAGTGAGCGGGGCGCCTGGGTCCTCCCGAGCCGGGCGGGCTGCCCCAGGGAGGAGGGAGGGGGCGAGCCTGAGCGGGCGCCTCGGCCCGCAGGAGGTCTGCAGCGAGCTGTGGTGTCTGAGCAAGAGCAACCGGTGCATCACCAACAGCATCCCGGCCGCCGAGGGCACGCTGTGCCAGACGCACACCATCGACAAGGGGGTGAGCGTCGCCGGGGGACCCCCAGCCAGGCCCCGCCCCCTGCCCTTGGGCCACCCTCCTCGAGCCCAGCCGCTTCTCGCGCAGGCCTTGCCCAGCCCGTCTGGTCTCTCTCGGCTCTGGCCACGCCCATCGCCCTAGGCCCCGCCCCTGACCAGAGGCCACGCCCCCGTCTCAAGCCACGCCCTGCGCGCTTGTCCTGGTACCATCCTCACCCCACCCCCACACACACACAGCGCTGTTCCTGACACTAAAGTTAGGCCACGCCTCTAGCTTGAGCGGTGTCCGGCTCCCTAGCTGCTACCCCCTTCCTCGTCTTCGGACCCCGCCTTTGTCCAGGGGCTGAGACCCCTGTCTGGGGCGTGGAGCGGGGGGAAGGGGACACGGAGCCCACGCGTGTCCGCGGAGCCGGACCCACTCCTCTCCATCTATTCCCCCCCCAGTGGTGCTACAAGCGGGTGTGTGTCCCCTTCGGGTCGCGGCCAGAGGGCGTGGACGGAGCCTGGGGCCCGTGGACCCCGTGGGGCGACTGCAGCCGGACGTGCGGCGGCGGCGTGTCCTCTTCCAGCCGTCACTGCGACAGCCCCAGGTCAGCCCCCTCCCGGGAGAGCGGCGCGACCTCCTCACCTCCCCCACGTCCCTATCCCCACCTCCCCCTGCCTCATATCTGTCCTGACGCCCACCCCTTTCCAGGCCAACCATCGGGGGCAAGTACTGTCTGGGCGAGAGAAGGCGACACCGCTCCTGCAACACCGACGTGAGTTCCCCCAAGACCCCTCTTGGTGGGCGGAGGAAAAACGCATCTTAAAAAGCTAGCAAAGTGCTTGGCGCCTGCCACCTCCTGGGAAGCCCGCAGCGGCCACCCCCCTCTTCCCTGCCCTCCCTGCCCCACCTGTTCCTGGACACCCCACCGTGCACCTCCCCAGAGATGTGGCTCTTTCCAACTCTCTTCTCCTCCTCTCCAGACCCCTCCAGGAGATGAATCCCCCACCTCGAAATCATTGCTTGGCCTTTACAACACCCTGTGATCCAGTTGGTCCCCTCCCTTCACAGGCCAAGTCCCCCACCCCAAGCCAGAGCCCTGCTCTCTGTCACCCTCCAAAGCTGTAGCTGGGCTTCCTCTCGCCAAACCCAGTGGTGCATTTCTGTCCTCTTTTGCTCATGCCCTCATCTGACCTGGGACCACCTACCATCACCTTTCTGAAACCCCTGCCTTGCCTGTCTCCCCGTTACAGCCTCTCTTGGGCTTCTCTGCTGCTCCTTCCTTAAATGTTGGGGTTCCCCATGGCAGGGCCCTGGGTGTAATAGACACCCAGGTAAATACCCAATAAGCAAGAGGCTCACTGGAGGAGAGAGGTTCAGAGACTAGGGAGAACTCGCGGTGGGCAGTGGCTTTCCCAGCTCCCCTCCTGGGGGAGGGAGCTCGTATCCCCATAGTCTGAAACCAGAAACCTAGGTGTCATCCCCAGCATGCGCCCAAACCTTGAATGCATCACCCAGACGCCCTTCAATGCCTTGGCCAAGACCATTCTCACCTGGTCTATCACAGCCTCCTCCCTGGCCTCCCTGCCTCCAACCCATCCAGCTCTGAGCACCACTTCTCTGCCCTAACTCCATGCCCCACACACACCTGGCATCCCTCCCTCTCCCCTCTCGTGCCACCAGGACTGTCCCCCGGGCTCCCAGGACTTCAGGGAAATGCAGTGCTCTGAATTTGACAGCGTCCCTTTCCGTGGAAAATTCTACACGTGGAAGACGTACCGGGGAGGTGAGTGGGGCACTCTGGAGGCCGTGGGCGGTGTCCGGCTTCGGGTGCATAGATATAGCATCATGGGATCTATCCGGAACCCTGTCCTCACCCAGAGAGCCAGCGTGCCCGGGACATGGCTCCACAGGGCCTCGCCGGGACGCTGGGAGCCCCCTACTCCCTCTGCCTGAGCTGCCCATCTCTTGGGTCTGGGGTCTGTCCTGTTTGGCCTCACATCCCCCCAGGGAGTGAGCAGAGGGTCCCAGGGTGGTCTGGCCCACGGAGTGACGGAGCTGTGCCCCCCAGGGGGCGTGAAGGCCTGCTCGCTCACGTGCCTAGCGGAGGGCTTCAACTTCTACACGGAGAGGGCAGCCGCCGTGGTAGACGGGACGCCCTGCCGCCCAGACACGGTGGACATCTGCGTGAGCGGCGAGTGCAAGGTGGATTCCCGGGGAGGTGGAGAGCGGATCGGGGAGGGGGGTCAGGGAATGGGAGGGCCACCTTGCTCACCCCCACCCCCACCCCCACTGCCCTCTCCACACAGCACGTGGGCTGTGACCGCGTCCTGGGCTCCGACCTGCGGGAGGACAAATGCCGAGTGTGCGGAGGTGACGGCAGCGCCTGCGAAACCATCGAGGGAGTCTTCAGTGCAGCGTCACCCGGGGCCGGTGAGAGCCGCTGAGCTTCCCTCCCACACCCCCCGCAGGGCTGACCCCACCGCATTAGCAAAGATCAGTAACTCCTCAGAGCCCAGGGTCCCTGTGGGGTGGCAGGGACCCCAAGAAGTCCTGGAGGCACAAACATGAATGCCCCAGATCTGGGTCAGGAGGAGCCCTGGAGACTGGCTTGGGCTCTGGTGCCTAAACCTTGGCAGTTAGAGTGTCATCTGTCAAATGGGGACGCTGGCACATCTATGTCACAGGGGTGGGGAGGGACGCAGTGGGATGTCCCCCTGTGCACTTAGCGCAGTAATGGTTAGCTGTTATTGTTGCAGCCGGGGACAGGGGAGACAGGCGGATGTGGGGGACGTGCCGAGTGGGTGACAACTGAGTTCCGTTGTCCAGGGTACGAGGACGTCGTCTGGATCCCCAAAGGCTCCGTCCACATTTTCATCCAAGACCTGAACCTGTCCCTCAGTCACCTGGGTGAGCAGATGGGGGAATGAGGGGCGAGGGGAGGGAGAGTCAGTGCGTCTGGAGTTCTGACCCCTGTACTGTCCTCCCCCAGCCCTGAAGGGGGACCAGGAGTCCCTGCTGCTGGAGGGGCTACCTGGGACCCCCCAGCCCCACCGCCTGCCCCTAGCCGGGACCACCTTTCAACTGCGACAGGGGCCGGACCAGACCCAAAGCCTGGAAGCCCTGGGACCCATTAATGCCTCTCTGATCGTCATGGTAACAACGAGGCTGGGCCCAGGGGTGGCGAGGTACATCCTTTGGGGATGGAGGCTCCATGTGACCCTGCCGCTGGCTGTCACCTTCCTCCCCCACACGACCAGGTGCTGGCCCGGACCGAGCTGCCTGCCCTCCGCTACCGATTCAACGCGCCCATCGCCCGCGATGCTCTGCCCCCCTACTCCTGGCACTACGCGCCCTGGACCAAGTGCTCTGCCCAGTGTGCGGGGGGTGAGGCCGGGCTGGGGCATGGGGCACTGGGCACCCGGGCTGAGGTTCTCTGGGCCGGGCAGGGCTAAGCGGGCCTCTCGCCGCCCTCCCCCAGGTAGCCAGGTGCAGGCAGTGGAGTGCCGCAATCAGCTGGACAGCTCGGCCGTGGCCCCCCACCATTGCAGTGCCCACAGCAAGTTGCCCAAGAGGCAGCGCGCCTGCAACACGGAGCCTTGCCCGCCAGAGTGAGTACCCGCCAGGGGGCAGCATTGCTCAGGGTGGGATGAGAGTGCTCCCTGGGGTCAGGGTGAGTGCTCCAGGGCTGGGGAGCCGGTGGATTGCAGGGGGCGGGGAGCGGGGACGCCCGAGTGCTGGGGCGATATTGCTATAGGACTGATGGGAGTTGGGGTAAAACTGCTCCCCAAGGTACAGGTCAAGTTTGGATGGTTCTGGAGTCAAAATGATGTTGCTCCCTAGTCAAGCTAATTGTCCAGGGATTTGTCTCTCCTTAGGGTGATGCACCTCCCTGCCCTCAGTCTGGGTGCAGGGTCAAGATGCTCCAAGTATGAATTGAGGGGTGCTCCCTGCTTAGAGCAAGAGCCGCCCAAACCACTGACAGTTCTCATAGGATGCTGGTTGTTGGGAAGGTGGGGGTAGCCTACTAACCTCAGCTCCGGGTGGGACCCCCTACCTGCATCCTCAATCTCAGACCCCTGGCACCCCCCACAGCTGGGTTGTAGGGAACTGGTCCCGCTGCAGCCGCAGCTGTGACGCGGGCGTGCGCAGCCGCTCGGTCGTGTGCCAGCGCCGCGTGTCAGCCGCCGAGGAGAAGGCGCTGGACGACAGTGCGTGTCCGCAGCCGCGCCCGCCGGTGCTGGAGGCCTGCCAGGGCCCCGCCTGCCCTCCTGAGTGGGCGGCCCTCGACTGGTCTGAGGTCAGCCGTCCCTTTCCTTCCATCTCACGGACAGCCCACGCCACGCACGGAGAGGCGCAGGGGCTGGGATGGCCCTGTCGGGTGCCCACCGACGCGCCTCTCCTGCAGTGTGGATATTAGCTGACCCTCCTCCTTCCCTCCCACTGAGGCGGCACCCTGCCCACCCACTAAGCATGAAACGCCCCCTCCAACTGCAGTGCACCCCCAGCTGCGGGCCGGGCCTCCGCCACCGCGTGGTCCTCTGCAAGAGCGCAGACCACCGCGCCACGCTGCCCCCGGCTCACTGCCCGCCTGCAGCCAAGCCACCGGCCACCATGCGCTGCAACTTGCGCCGCTGCCCGCCGGCGCGCTGGGTGGCAGGCGAGTGGGGCGAGGTAGGCGGGCAGGCCCTGGGGGGCGAGGGCGGGGACCTGGGCCGGGGCAGGGGACGGCGGCTCAGCGGCGCCTCTCCGCAGTGCTCCGCGCCCTGCGGCGTCGGGCAGCAGCAGCGCTCCGTGCGCTGCACCAGCCACACCGGGCAGCCGTCGCAAGAATGCACGGAGGCCCTGCGGCCGCCCGCCACGCAGCAGTGTGACGCCAAGTGCGACAGCGCGCCCCCCGGGGACAGCCCCGAAGGTATGTGGGCGCCAGGCCGGGGCGCACCGGGAGGGCCCTTGGCCTGGCCAGAGGAAGCCATCAGAGGGCGTGGGGGTCCTTACTGTTAGTCCTAGAGCTTCTCGAACCTCTGAAATGCCTTGCTCTGTCTCCACCTGTAGCATTATTTGCCTAATATTTTTTCTTTTTTTTTTTTTTTTGAGACAGAGTCTCACTTTGTTGCCCGGGCTAGAGTGAGTGCCGTGGCGTCAGCATAGCTCACAGCAACCTCAAACTCCTGGGCTCAAGCGATCCTACTGCCTCAGCCTCCCAAGTAGCTGGGACTACAGGCACGCGCCACCATGCCCGGCTAATTTTTTCTATATATTTTTAGTTGTCCAATTAATTTCTTTCTATTTTTTAGTAGAGACGGGGTCTCGCTCTTGCTCAGGCTGGTCTAGAACTCCTGACCTTGAGCGATCCTCCCGCCTCGGCCTCCCAGAGTGCTGGGATTACAGGCGTGAGCCACCGTGCCTGGCCCTAATATTTTTTCTTTAAATCAGAGTTTCTCAACCTCAGGTGCTATTGATATTTTGGTCCAGACGTTTCTTTGGGGATGGGAGGAGGCTGCCCTGTGCTTGGTAGGATGTTTGGCAGCACCAGTGGTGCCAATAGCAGCCTTCCCCCAGTTGTGACAACCAACAGTGTCCCCAGACATTGCCCAATGCCCCTGGGCATCAAAATTACCATCCCCTGAGCACCACTGTTTAAATACACCCTTTTTTTTTTTTTTTTGTATCTATGTACATTTATTTTCTACAAAGAGCAGTAGATTCCTTACTCTGGGTACTGGATCCAAACTATCCGGTTCATCTTCCAACTCTGTGCCTCAACTTCCTTATCTTCCAAGGGGGAGGGAATAATATATTCATGTGATGGGAGAGGGCCCATTGGGGGGTGGAATTAAATAATCCACGTGAGGCCGGGCACAGTGGTTCACGCCTGTGAGCCAAGTGCTTTGGGAGGCCGAGGGAGGAGGATCACTTGAGCCCAGGTGTTCAAGGCTGCAGTGAGAGCTGTGATCATGCCACTGCCCTTCAGCCTGGGCGACAGAGCGAGACCCCGTCTCTAAAAAGAGAAAACAACTGGGGCTTTATAGCCCCAAACGAATGTTCTCTCCCGGGTGGTATCAAAAGGATCTGTGGAACAGGAATACTTTTCTCGGTAATAATGAGTCCACGTTGGTCCAGACGCTGCACTTTGTAAATCCTCCAAATAGCCTTATGGCATAGATACTGTCATAAGCCCCCTTTGACAGATGGGGAAACTGAGGCACGGAGAGGCAGTCGCCGGCTAGGAGGCAGTGTGCAGGTAGCAGCGGGCGCGCCCTTACGAGGAGGGCGGCGCACACTTGATTTTCCCTGTTCTCCTGTCCCCTCACCCCCCCACCAGAGTGCAAGGATGTGAACAAGGTCGCCTACTGTCCCCTGGTGCTGAAATTCCAGTTCTGCAGCCGAGCCTACTTCCGCCAGATGTGCTGCAAAACTTGCCAGGGCCACTAGGGGGAGCGCGCGGCACCCGGAGCCACAGCCGGGCGCTGGCTAGGGGGGATGGGGGGAATGGGGGGGGGGTCCCCGCTCCTCCCCTCCCCCAGCCCTGCCGCTGGCTAGAGGGGGCCCCAGGGGGGCGGGAGCTGGAAGTGAAAGATGAGATGGAGCCGGAAGTTATTTATTGGGAACCCCTGCAGGGCTCCTGGCTGGGGAAGGGGAGGGGCTGGTTACCCCAAGGGTCCCTCTTCAGCCTCTCCCCATCCACATAGTGAGACCCCCCCTCCAGGGTGGATCTGGGGAGGGGACAACTGTTGACCCCAGGGCCCTTTGCACCCACCCTTAGGGAGTCCTGAACGCTCCCCACCCCACCCCTGGATGGGATTATGTACTGTGAAGAGTGGGGGTGGGGCAGGGGCCTGCCAGTGCCCTGCCCCCCAGCACTGCCCTAACTGCCCCCACTCTGAGCAGAGGGGGGTCTATGTCTGCTATGGGGGAGGGGAATTAGCACCACCTCCCTGACACCCTCCCCCTCTAGTCCAGGGGGAAGATCCACCCCACCTTCCGCCCTGCCTGCCCCAGGGAGACCCCAACATCCAAGCCACCCCCTCATGGTGCTACAGACCCTGCCCTGGGGCCCACACACTCCTGCCAGGAAGCCCTCCATCAATAAAGTTCTGTCTTGTGTAGATTTCCACGTGTAGGTGTGTGTGTGTGTGTGTGTGTGTCACCATGTCAGCGTCTGGCAGCCCCCATCCAGGCTTGGAAGGGGGGAGGGGCCACAGCCCCTCATGGGTCACGCCCAGCAGCCAGAAGGGGGCTTTTTAACAATGTAGGCAAGAGCCCAGGGATCTTAGAACAAAAGCACAGCTTTTGAAGGAGGTTCTCGAAAGCCACATGTCTGGCACCTGCTGTGCTGGCCACCACAGTCTTTAGGTCACTCCGCACGCTCCAGCCACACCAGCCTCTTCCCTGAAGTTCCTAGGTGGCCCTAACTCTTCCCATCTCCGGGCGTTTGCATGAGTGATTTGCTGGGCCAGGTGTACCCACCCTGCCCCTTTTCACCTGGTGGACTCCAACCTTTCAGTGTCAGCACACAAACGTCGCCTCCTCCCAGAAGCCTCCCCTGATTAGCCCCTGCAAAGTGGGGTCCTTCTGCCTATTTAGTCACTTAGTGCCTGGAGACGTTGCTGAACTTTGCAGGCACCAAGCCCGTCAATTCAGCAAACTCGCTCAGGAGGTTCCAGGAGAGACGGGCTCCTGCCCTCCCAGCTGTGGCCACTGCCAGACGCGGTGTCTAGGCGACCTCTGGGAGGAGGGTGTGTGCGCGCCGCCCGGTCCTCAGGCCTGGACCACAGATACATCTGAACAGTTTCCCGCCACGCTCTGCCAGGGTCGGGTTCTGTCTCAGCCACCTCCTCGCCAGGTGGCGTGGGCAGGTGACAACCTCTTGGGAATGTCATTTCCTCCAATGTCAAGCAGAGACTCATACATGGTCTGCTGCTGCCCCAAAGATCAGGACACGGAATGGGCACTGCTGGGAGGGCCGGAGTTCCCGTTTTACAAAGAGAAAGCGGAGTGGCCGAGTCAGACAGGAAGCAGCAGAACTTCGGGTTGTTAAATGCAGATCTGACATCCAAAGCCAGGGACCCGAAAGGTGCACCCGGCTCCTGGTACCCTCCACCCCCCCTGACACGAGCACTCACGGTCGCGCTTGGATCTCGGGGGTCACTGCGGAGCCAGGACCAGCGGAGAGGCGGCTCTGGAAGAGGGAGTTTGGCCGGGGCTGCCTGTGGGAGACACATCTGAAGTGATGTTTCCCTTCCCTGGTTTTGAAAACCGGGCGGCCCACGTGCTTCCTGGGATGGCCCTCAAAAGAGACGGTCAGCCCTGCAGCTGACCCGAATGCTCTTGGCTGTGGTCCTTGTCCCCAAGGAGATGGAGAAGGGGCTTTCTGGGGTCTGGGAGTGGCTACTGTCCATCTTTGACCTCTCCCCTCAGGCTGAGCGCCCCAAAAAGCCAGCTCCCCAAGCCCTGCCAGGGCTCTCTCCCCGCCCCCTCCCTGCCCCCAAGGCCAGCTTCCCTCCCCCATGGGGCGCGGCCCCTCCCGCCAAAGGAAGTGAGAGAGGGGCTGTTGTAAGAGGAACTAGAGCGGGAGTCGGGCTAAGGAGCAGGAGTACCGCCATGCCCGAGCCGCCCCCAAGAGCCCCCTGAAGCGGCACCCCTGTCACGACCCATTCGCGTGCACCCGGCACCCCAGGAGCTCCGACCCCAACTCTCAGCATGGTAAGTCCTTCAAGGGTGGGCTCTGGACGCGCAAGGGCGCAGTGCACCAGCCAGGTGGAGGTGTCCTGAAAGCCACCATCGGAAAGCAGGGCAAAGGAGAGGTGCGTGGAGGACCGCTTGGGGGTCCCTCAGGGCAGCTCACGTACCCCCGGCGTCCCTTACCAGGGGCCAAGCTCCCATTCTGATGGCAGAAAGGATGCCAGGGTGGTGATGGTGACCAAAGACGGAGCAGTGACTAGAAGATACACGGTGGCCCCGGCAGAATCACAGAATCTGCAGAGATGGGGACTTACCCCTTTGCTGGGGCTCAGGGGCGGTGAGGGACTCATCCCCCTGTGTGGCCTTGGGCAAGTCACTTCCCCTCTCTGGGCCTCAGTTCCGACAGACAGCGTATTTGGAAGTCAGTCTAGGTGTGGAAGTGGTTCTTCGGGGGGCTTGGTGTCGGCGCATTCGGAGGGTCTGTGGGTTCAGCCTCTCCGAGTCCGCAGCTGAGAGAGGAAACTGTGTCTGACAGGCAGCAGGGGTGAAGTGACAGCCAGCCTGTGCGGGTGATGGGGGTCTGGCTGTAGCAATCACAGAGGCGGGAGATGGGGAGGCTCAGCGCCATCCCTGGTTGTCATCCATGCGGGGATGGCAGCGGAGAATACCAAAGCCAGAGACGTCGATGCCTGTGGAGGGTGAGGTCTGCCGGTGACAAGATCGGGGAGATCGTCGTGATCCGGCGTCTAGACGCTGCAGTATCAGAGCACGCACAGGGAGAGGCAGCCGGGCTGTCGCTAAAGCTCAGCCCGCAGCTTCGTGCATCCACAGACCACTTCAGCTTTCATTTCTCGTCACTCTGTCAAGGAGGATGAGGGCGTGTGACTGGGCCAGGGACAGTTGCAGGGTTCTGGGCAGTTGCAGGGGACAGCTAACCGGGGCAGAGGCAGGGAGGTGGCGCGAGAGGCAGAGGTCACGTCAGTCCAAGAGATAACGTCTCCCTCTTGCAGAAAACCAACGATAAATAGCGGATCCCCGGCCAAGGACCCCTCTGGGTGATTCGCAACCAACCCGGCTGCAGCTCTGACGTGGGGCGGGAACACTTCCAAGCCAAGCCAGGGAGGCTCAGGAGTTCAAACGGGCAGATTTTGATCAAAAGAACACAGGAAGAGATTTGCTACTTTAAAGAAAAGCAACCCCTCCCTAAGGAAGCCGTGTAAATGCTTAGTCAACAGTCTACTCGGCAGCTCCGCTCTGGGAGGGAATAAATGCGTTGAAGAGGCCGGTGGGAGAGGAAAAGGGTGAAGCCCACCTGTGAGGCCAGGACTTCTGTCTGGGGCTGCTGGAATCTTCCTGGAGGGGTGTGGAGGATGCCAGGAAGACTGTCGAAGGATTCAATGAAACGACGTTTGTAACCTCCTTTACAGAGCACGTAACATGCACCCGATACGTGACAGCTGCCATTACCAAGGACGCGCATGCATTGCTGCATTGAGTGACTGGGACGGGTGGAGGTGACATTCTTGGTTATTGCGCAGAGGTTGCTGTGGGTGGTTGTGTGTTGGGTTGTTGGTGTCACTGGTTGTGATGGTGGTTGTTGTCGTTGGTTGTTGGGCGTTGGTGGTAGTGGTGGATGTCTTTGGTGACAGCTGATAGTTAACACTGGTCATTGGTGGTAGGCTGTTTTCAACTGGAAATATGGGGGATACTTGGTGACCAACAGGCGGAATGATGGCAGTCAGTGGTTGCTGTTATCTGGAGTTGGGTGGTGTTGATTTCATTTGTTGTTGGTAGTTAATTCTTGGTAACAATTAATCGATTAATTAATCACCAATTAAAACCAATTAATTAATCACCAATCAGTGATGGTGGTAGCAATTCAGTGTTGGGTTTTTGAACAGGCTACGGCTGATGAATACTGCCTCATGGGGTTGCTTGTAGTAGACAGTTGTGTGTAGTTGTTGATGGCTAGTTTTGAGGTTTTGGGGGGGGGGTTTTTCGAGACAGGGTCTTGTTATATCACCTGGGCTGGAGCACAGTGGTGGGATCATAGCTCACCGTAACCTCAAACTCCTGGGGTCAAGCGATCCCACCTCAGCCTCCCAAGTAGCTGGGACTACAGGCATGCGTCACCACGTCCAACTAATTTTTCCATTTTTAGTAGA